ATTGTTGGTTGCTCGCTTTTCGGGCTTGGGACGGACAGGATCCAACAGGACGAAAGGATTGCATTGCACTGCATTGGATTGCAGCAAGACTGCAGCTTGAATTTGTGTTGTTTTTTCTTCTATTTTTTGGCTGGGGACTGCAGTTTGCAGTTCTCTGGAGGGCGTGTTACTGCATCAATTTATGGTTGAATTTTGGTGTCCACTCCTTCTTGGACCCTTGGACTCTGGGACTCTTGATTCCGGGTGCGTGCGACTGGGTTGTTTTTGGGATAAGTGTTCTGGGCATGCCGGAAATAAGTTTGCTGCCCGCAAATTTAGTTGATTTAGGCATTAAAGCGAACACACACACACACACACACACTCAAACACAGACACAGACACTCGAATCCGGAATCCCGAGTCGAGAATCCCGAATCCTGGGGCTTCTGTGGTGCCCACTTTGAGCACTTATAAACAATGTATGACTTAATTTGTTCTCAGTTAGCAAATGTTGTTAATTTCGGGGCTTGTTCCCTGGCAAACTCTGTGGCACCGAGTGGAAAAGATAAATTGATTGGTGAGGTGGGGAAATTAAAACGGGGATTTATTGAGCAGTCAAACGGAGTCCATGAAATCTGTTTTTATTTGGACAGGTGTTGCGGGGAGTGGGCTTAATTTAATACTGAATTCTTTTCTGAGGATTCTGTACATAAATAGTGAGCAAATAGTTAGAGGTAATTGTGTTTTTTAAAGTGTCAGTTGTTCATTTGTAGCTTCGGTTTTTTCTTGTTCTTTTTTATCGTAGGAACTACGATTTATTGAAATAATGTTTTTAATATTTATAAAAGTAAAGTAGGATCCTTAATTTGCGGCTCTCTCAAAAGAAGCTAAATATTAATTCGCACTTGAAATAAAAGCAGTGTACAATATCTAATTAATAAAAGAATTATTTTGAGGTTTCTGTAAATATGCATTTATTTTACTCTCAGTGAATAAAACAGTAAAAGAACTTGCTCTTTAAAGGGTCGTTTTTTAATCTGTATCCCTTTTCAGGTATATTTATATTTTTTAATTCTTTGAATGATCTCTGAACAGCTACTTAATAGTAAATGTCCGGAAAAGTGTCCCTGTGACTTTCCTTAACCCGTATTAGTCTGTTCAGCTTCTTTTTGGTTAACTTAATATGCAAAAATTTCGAATGCCATAATAACAACTAACACACCCACACATAGTTGACATTGTTGTTGCTGCCAGCTAAAATACCACACAGACGGGGTAGCAAAAACCCAAAGTCCAATTAAAATTTAACTACATCAAAGTAGCAGCGCCAGTAGCCCATCCACACATATTTGCATGCGCATATATATACATATATAGCTATAACATTTAACAAGTTTAGTATTGGGGTTTGCCATTTTTTGCTACCCATTCCAGGGGCATTTTTCCTGGGAGTCCAACAGATGGACGTGGCAAACTATGGGTGGAAAAAATGACTCTGGTGGAAGGAGGGGGGGGGGTGGTGTTGCGGATTGAAACAAAAAATGGTCAATGCCACCCACTCACGCACACAAAATGGAAAATGGAAAACGGAAAATGGAAAATGGGGTTGTTGCCGAATGGACAAGTCCATGGGTATCGGTATCTATGGCATGTCGAAAATTGCGCAGCTTTACGGCAAATGCCGCAAATTGAAACAATTTACATGTCGTACATGTGTCGGCGGCGGGGAACGGGCGCCATCAAAGGGTTAAACTTGCGTGTAACCCTCGGGTCCTCGCTCGTCTATTGATACCCGGTTTAAACAGCAACCATGAATTTTGATTTAGCCCCTCCGCCCGGCGAATCGACTAGAGTTGAGTTGAGTTGAGTCGAGTCTGGTGCAAAAATAGCGAACAGAAAAACTGTGTCTCCCCAACAACAACGAGGTGACAAACCGCGCGTGTCCATGTCCTGTGAGTCCTGTGAGTCCTGCGAGTCCTGCCAACCTTTCGGTGACGGCGAGCGCGGATTATGGCGCGTTTGTCGAGCACTTGTCGCTGATTTTTTCACTCCTCTGGCCGCCAATATTTTCCACTCGAGCTGCCACATATTTTAAATACCCTGCAACTGATTGCAATAAATGTATACATATATGCCACTTATATTTTTATCAATTTTAAAGATATTTATTTTTTAGTGAAGAAAAATATTTATATATTATTTATATGGAATTTATTACAAAAAAAAACCATTAAATCTATAAAAATCGTTTTTATGCATATTTTGTGTTTCTATACATTAATAATATCTTTAAAAAATATTAAGAATATTTTCAAATGAAAGGATGCAATAATAAATTTAATAAATATTAAAATTGAACTAAATACAAAAACCAATAAAATCATATATAAAATGTAACGAAAATAACCTAAAGCTATGTCCTCTCTCTGCGCTTCTCAAAGTGCCCAGCTGAAGGGCATCGATTAACCCGCCACAGCCGACTCCTCAACTTAATTTGAGAGTCCGGTGTGGCCCAGTTTTAACCCCCCTCTTACCGCTTATCTCACCTACTTCCTCCATTTTTTTTTCTCTCCTTCTGGTTTTTATCTCGAGCTCGGTAATAACCTTTATAAAGTAAATTTACAATAAAAGGCAGGCCAACGAAATGAAAGGCAAATGACGTTGGAACTGAAAGAGGCCACATCCCTTCCCCTTACCAGATGGCCATTAACCCATGCCGCTGTATTTCCCATCGAGCCATCTCCCTTTTGCATTTTTCCGCGCTTTTCCCCCGCATTTCTCCCGCATTCCCTCCGCTTTTCCCCGCTTTTCCGCCCATTTCCCAGCGTGTGTTGTCTGGACGCGCGACGACACGTTTGGCTTCCGTTGGATTTCTGCCGCGATTTCCTCTTTGGCATCGGGCCTCCTTGTTGTTGCTGCTTGTTAACCCCCAGCCCCAGTTTTTCCACTCTTCCACTTTCCCATTTCCCCCAGATTTTCCACCATTTCCCTTTGTGTGACATTCGACGGTTATTTTGTGTACAGTATTTTTTCGTGCCCTTTCTTCTGTTCTGTGTTCTTTTCGGTTTTTTTTTCTGTTCGTTGTTGGCCAAAAGTCAACCCATGAGCTGCGGCATTTTTAAGTAATTTTTATCGGTCAGCAATGTGGGGGGATGATAGGGAGGCGGGTCTGCGGGTCTTTCGCCAGGGGACGAATTTTGATGCGCACTGGAAATAATGCCGGTGAACTTTATCTGAACATCGAAAGGCAGATCTTAGGCCATATGAGTTCAGCATTTTATGCATTTACTAAAAGATACTAGAAATCTATACGTACAAAAATTGAGGAAATTGAGAAAATAAAAGTATTTAATAAAAAATTATAAATCCAGCCTATCGGTGTTAATAAGTTTCCATTGTTTCCCAATGATTTCAAATATTTTATAGCTAAGGGATTAAATAATACTACTTTGTGATTCCTATAAATTAAACTAATCCCGTTTTTCATTGTTCAAAAAAATTGTAATTGGATACAAAAACATTAATTGATCTGCATCCAAAATATGTAGACCACAAAATGTACCCAAAATGTTGTAAAAATTTAAAAATTATCGTAACGAAAATTTGCCAAACTGCAGGGTTGAAAAAATTCTTTCATCCTGAAATAAATAATACTTTAGATAAATTATACAAAATTTCCTATGCCAGGTGCGCTATTTCCGAATATATCTGAACCCTTTGCAGTTTGTATCTGTATCTGCTGTGGCTGTAATCCTAGTGATTTTTGGGCGCTGCACGAATGTCGACAAGTGACAAAATATGCAAGTATCAAACCACAAATTCTCACCCGTGAGTCCACAATCATTTTGACACTGGTTACGGTGACGAGTGCAGGGTCCTTCCTCCGTCGTCCTTCCAACTTCGTCCTTCGTCCTTCGTCCTGGATCCCTCGCACATGCCGCACGGCAGCGACTAGATTTGGATAGTGTTGCATGGCCGAGTGTGGTGGCGATGAAGTCCTTTGCCGGAAATTGAAAAGTGCAACGCAAATTGCGTTCCGCTGGGATGTGGACCCCCCCTTTCCCCCAAAATCCCCACCATTCCGAGTCCTGCCAGCCGTCTGAAGTCCTTCCCCCGTCGAGTGGTTGACAATTGATTTGTGTTTATGGTGGCCATGCCCATGGACATGCCTGCATCCTGTCATCCCATCATCCCGCCATCCTGCCATCCTGCAGTCCTGTTGCAGTCCCCATTTCAACCCATTTTGGTGGACCCATGTAATATGCCATTTTGGGGCTGTGATTTAAAGACATTAACAGGCCAGGGGCCAAATGGTAAATTTTATGGTGTCGCAGGCGCAAGGTTCCAATTGAAGTTATCGCCCTCAGGCGGAGGAGATTGATGACCTAATCGGGTGCGAAACCTTGGCACTGGGTGATTCAGTTCGCGGAGGAACACTAGCTGACTGGGTATCTCACAGATACTTTCTCAAGCTTCTAGGAACTGTAAGGCTCGGTGTTGAATATACAATAATTAAAGGGAATTTTGAGTATGATTTGAATTTGGGGATTAACATTGCTGTCTTAATAATAGAGTTTTTCAGAAAATTCAAATTAAATGAAATTATTAAAGCCTACATTTCCATATCTATTTTATGAAAAATTCTATCAACAAATTTAAGAATTTGTTTATTTTATGCACTCTCAAATACTTATTTAAACTTAAGGTTTACTGCCATATAGTAATAAACATATATATTTTAATATAAGCTACAAAATGTATTATTTCAATTAACTTAATATTTTTGAAAATATTTATTTATTTCCAGAATATCAAAGACTATTGCGGGTAAAGCCTGAATTTTGATTGTTTTCCAAGGCGGTGCGATTAAAGGACGACAAAATTGTGCGGCTAAAAAAAGTGCAGGCTCACGCTCAAGGGCAACTGGAGCAGTTTGAGCAGCAGCAACAGCAGCAGCAGCAGCAGCAGCAGCAGCAACATCTGCAGCAGCAGCAACAGTTGCAACTACAGCAGCAGCAGCAGCAGCAGCAACAGCAGCTGCAACAGCAACACTATCATAACTACAGCGGCAATAGCAACAATTACAAAATGCATTTAACTACCACATCGAGCAATTCAACGGCATCTAATGCCAACAATAATAACAACAACAACACCACCAACAACAACAACACAAGCAGCAACAACAACAACAACACGAGCAACACAAATGGCAGCAGCAACAACACGAGCGGCAACAACAACAGCAACAACAACAACAACAGTAGTGGCAACAACAACAGCAACACAGATCAAAATACACCACCAACACCTGCGCAACTGTTGAACGAAGCGTACACGAAGATGACCTCTGACATTCTGGCAGAACGCACACTGGGCGACTTCCTCACCGAACATCCAGGCGAGCTGATCCGCACGAGCAGTCCGCTCTTCGTCTGCACAGTCTTGCCGCCCCATTGGCGCAGCAACAAGACGCTGCCGGTGGCCTTCAAGGTCGTCTCGCTGGGCGACATCATGGACGGAACGATGGTCACCGTGCGGGCGGGCAACGATGAGAACTACTGTGCGGAGCTGCGCAACTGCACGGCGGTGATGAAGAACCAGGTGGCCAAGTTCAACGATCTGCGGTTCGTCGGTCGGAGTGGCAGAGGTGAGTCCTGATCTCGCCTGCACGCGAATTCTTTAGCACTTTTTAGTATTTTACACTGCGTTTCTCAAACAGAGAGAGAGAAAGAGAGGAACAGAGAGAGAGAGAGAGAGAGAGAGAGAGAGAGCAATATGATAGCACTATCTTACGCAAATTCTTTAGCACCTTTTAGTATTTTCCACTTTGTTCTCCTAAATCACACACGAAACAAAAGTTTCACGAAGTTAGAAAAACAAAGGGAAAAATACAAGCATACCTTAACGCAAATTCGTTAATAATTTTAATTAATTTTTATTCATATAATTTTAATAATATTAATATCAATATTTTATACGTATTTTTTAGCTGAAATTGGTGTCAAGTGGCCCTCAATTATTCTTGAAGATAACTACACAAATTTTAGACAATATTGAAACAAAATCTTAGGCCAATGCTAATTGCTTTTTGAAGAAAAGATCTGACAACTCATAAGTTTGGGAATGGCAGATCTATCAGCTTAAAAGTTTGAGAAGCACAGTATTAGTAACAAACTCCTTAAAAGAAAAAGTGCAGCTTATGTTGTGCATAAATGAAGTAACAATATCAGTGAATAACCTTCAATAGTTTATAAAACTAGAATTCTTGTTTGGCACGTTATTATTTCACTCAACCTATACGTTTTATATCCAAAAATATATTGAGTCGATGGCCACAGTAGCTAGTTACTCCGTTCCCTAATTTAGTTATTATATTGTAAATGCGATTTATGCATATTAGCTAATACTGAAATAAATAAATATATCCAAAAATATATGGCTCGAGAAACAGAGGCTTGAAAACAAGTAGAATTACCCGGATTGACTCACACCATCTTCAGTTAATCTCAGTCCTTAAAGCAAGAACGCAAAAGTTTTTCCGACAAGTGGCGCCTCTTATTGGCCCTTGAAAAGCCCCAAGGACCCCCATTTTCACCCCTCGACACTGCACTCGAAACAATTTGTTCAATTATCGCCCAAAAGTTTTGCCAGCTCCTGCTCCTTTCACGTCCATTGTATTATTTGGGGCACTTTTTGCATTGCTGTCATCCTTTTTTCGGTTCATTTTTTTGGTGCCCAGTCCGCATCCTTTTGTATCCTTTTAACCGCTTGTTAAGCGCTGCACAAATTGTCAGCAGTTCATCAGCAGTAACCATCATCGTCATCGTTTTCATTCACCGAATAGAACCGGATTACCCGGTACGTTTTCCCATTTTTTGTTGTCAGCATTTGTGTGGTCTTTGTCTTAAAGTGTTTAATAAACTGTCGGAACGGAAGTGAAGTTAAGTGAAGTGACGGGGGATTCCCGTCACCACTAAGAGCTGACTTTTAATTTGATGTTTTTTGAGACTTTTTAAGGGGTTCTTTCGTTAGATTTATAGATGGAGTGGTTACAGCTTACTTTTAAATTATTTAAGTAAATATTTTAACTTACTTGTAGTTTTATTAGCATACTTTTTGAAACCTTTTTATTTATTAATTTTTTAATTTATATATGTTAAATTATTAGATAGAACTTTTTGTAGAGGAGTGATTTTTTGTAGTGCCCTTATAACACGATAAAAATCAACTACCATCAATCACACAAGCCATAATTCAATCAGCAAAAAAGATTTTCGCCATGGGTGCAGGTTTTCCCCAAAACTGGAAGGACTAAGCCCAATTCCGTTGGTCATTTTGGCCTGGTCGGAAAAGGGAGTGTGTGTGAAGGGTGGAAAGGGGGGGAGGGGGGGTTGACAGTTACGCATCCGCTGCGGTGGAACCGCAAAAACCAAAACCTCGACCAGCGAAAGGGGGACATAAGCGGTTTTTGGGGGTTTTTTGGGAGGGCGGTGGTTGGAGGATGGGGGCGTGTCTGTGTCTCGCGGAGGATTCATTCATTGTCATCATTCGGCCAATGCCAAATGGATGCGTGTCCGCGTCCGTCACTCTCTCCCGCTTTCCTCCTCCATCTTTCGCATTTCACTTTAACATTTCCCACTGCCCATTTCCCAGCCTCCGTTTTCCTGCATAAGGGCGCCTTAATTGGGAATTTTCCATTTATCTATTTTCACTTTGCTGAACTTTTTCATTTCGTACTACACTTATTTAGAATGTTATAGAAGACCTTATTTGTACTTACTATATTAAAACTGTTAGTAATATATGAAAATGCCTATTTATGTAATTATTTATTTATGAAACTGCTTTGCATATCCAGAAGATTAAAAACAACATAAGTTATAAAATATAAAAATTAAAGACTTAAAAAAATTCCTTCCATTCTAACAATTTTAAACTAAAAAGATCTAGCTATATTTAAAATATATCTATAAAAAAAAAGTTAAGTGCAAGTTAATTTAAGGAAAATTTGCGACATAATATTTATCCACTTAACAAACAAAACTGTCAAGCGCTATTTTTCTGCTTAACCCCTTAAATCACACCACTTTTTTGTCACGTCATGTTTCATTTAACCCAGTCAAATTATGATAACTCGAAATGTTTACAATCGTCTGCCTGTTGCTTGGCACGAAAATTTCCCAAGGTCCTTTGGGAAAATCTCCACCCTTGGCTCGCACAATTACCAACTTTCGAGCGGAAAACAAAGCTCCATTGGGAGACGGGAGGGGGTTGTTGTGAAAAAATTGAAAAGAACAGAAGGCAAGCCAAAAGCAAATTGTGCACAATTTGGCACGACTTCCCCTTCGCCAGGGATTTTCCTTGTTTTTCCTTTTCCACAGACAGGCGTGTCCTTTTCACAGGACAAGGTGTCAGTTGCTGGCAGAAAGTTGCCTTTTTTCTTTGCCTTTTTAACGCCTCGACTTCTGCTAGGCATTTATCTTTGAGGGGCTTTTTTTTTGTTGAGGGGCTGTTGTCTCTTTTGTCCCCAAGATTTCGAGAATGTTTATCTTTCGGTGGGGATGGGTTTTTGGTTTGGGATTTCTGGAGTTTTTGGCTCAGTTCATTTTGCGGCTGTTTTTGGCCGTATTAAATGGCTCGAGAATTGTGTAAATAAAAACCTCAGAGGGGATGGCCCTCGATTAAGGGTAAGACCTGTTGTTTTTTTCTGGCTAAGGACGGGGTGTCGTAACTGGCGGAAACTGGCACCGTCCTTAACCCCTTAAAGCCACCACCCCCCGCTCCATCCTCGGTGTTAACCCCCACCAATCAACATCATCATCATCATCATCATGCGTGCATGTGCATGGCACTTTGCTAATTAAAAGTGTAGCCTAGCGTTGGGCCAAATAAATCGATGGCCGGGTAATTAAATTGCATGACATGGTGGGGGAGGGGAAAGGGGAGGAGGAGGGGGGAATGACTGGGGCTTGACGTACTACCTATGGGCCATGCATTTGTTATTGTAATTAGACAGCAGCGGCAGCAACAGCAATAACAGCGAAACAAAATGGCGGCGGCCACTGTGGCGGATGAAATGTAAATCACTCATACGCCCCTTGGTCGCGGTACAGATTTAAAACAACTTAGAAACGGGCAAAACGATAACGCAATTAAACCTATTAAACTTGACCAAAAAAGAAGCTTACACTGCGGTAAAGATCACTTATAAATTAATAACAATATCATATTAGTTATTGGATTCTCACCTTTAATATTCTTTCTATTCAGTGTTTTTACTTTTATTCATTTATTTTTTCACTTAATTATTTTAAAATAAATTATAAATAATACATAATACATGATTAGAAAATTATTAGTTATTAATTTGAGGTCCAAAGCGTCTCAGGATCCAAACTTCTGTTTTTGTGTTAGCCCTTTTATAAATCCCACACCTGCAATCAATCATTCGAGCACATATCCACCCTCAGGTAAACACAAGCAAGAAATCAAGAAGCAATCAAAATAAGCAAACAAAAAAGATGAAAACCAAAGAAGCCGCAAAATGTTTTTATTTTGGTGTTGGAGCGACTTACTGGCTGGCTTTCAAAGCTTTCAAAGGCTTAGCCTTTTTTGGACAAGAAGTGAAGTGGAAAAGGACTTATGGGGAAGTCACTTTAAGATGAGGGTAACATTAACAAATCTCAGATAAAGAGGATCATACATATTTAGAATTAAATAAAAATATTATAGCGAATAAACAAGGTAAATCATGATTATTCTCATTTTGTAGAGTTAAATAGCTATAACTTAAATTATTAAAATCTGTTCTTTAAATATATTCAAATAGATGATTTAATTATTAAATATTTTTGAAGTCATAATTTTACATTTTACATTAAATGAAGCTTAGTTTCCTTTTCCTCTGAATGAATTAAACCCAAAATCTTCATTTATTGACAGACGGATTTGTGTGCGTGTGTATCTGTGTCTTGGGCGGAGTGTGTGTGTGTTTTCATTACCCCCAAATTGATTTATGACGCCTGTGCAACGGTAAATTGCCGGGGATTTGCCAGCCAGGATTTCAAGTTATTTGTCAACAGGATTTGATTTTAAATGCCGCCACACCCACACGGAAATGTTTTGCTCCTCAAGTGTTGACATTTCCATTTGTCGCACTTTCGGTGGAGATTAAGATGAATGCTTTTTGGGCTTGGTGTGGGAATTATTGTGGGATTATCAATCAATTGGGTCAAAAGGCGCCGCCCTGATTATAATTTCCCATCAAATTCTGTAAATAACTCAATATCCTAAATCATATTTCCTTAAATTTGCCATTACATATAGATTTAGAGATAGTTAACTAACTAACTTCGAATAATTGAAATTAAATAAAACACGCCATTCTTTTGGTCATGCAATTAAATTTAAAATAAAAAAAAATCATAAAAATCAGTACTTTGCCAGTTTGTTCGTCTATCCAACAAATGTCATTTCCCAGGAACATAAAAAACGACTCCTTCTAGTTGTTCCGCAAATTACTCGCCTTAATGATCGATTATCCATTGCCAATCTCACAACTTTTCCGCCACCACCCACTTTTCGCCCCGGGAAAGCCCCACACGGAAAGTGTCAAAGAATTGCGCAACAATGAACTGCACTTGATGGCAAATGAACACAAAAGTGTTTTCCCATCTTTGGGCTGCCACTTGAGACTTCATTTTTTAAGCCCCGCAAGAAGATATTGTCCTGGTTCAGTGGAGTGTGTTCCCAGGACATGTGTAAGCTCCTTCGTCTGCGTTTAAACACATATTTTATATAGCATATATATGTATACACTTAGCTGCGAGGGTTTGGGATCGTCGGCGGTTTATTTGTATGTGCCGAAATGATTTACGCTTTGTTTGTCAACTTAAAAAGCAAACCTCTTCCCCTTGAAAAAATCACACATACGCCGCGTTGTCATAGACAAGGCTGGAAAACGAAGAAAGGCGGCGGCTCAAGGAGACTGAAATGCTTTTAATTGAATCCTGGGCGACAAAAAATGGCAGGATCTCAGGACAAAAAGGCCTTGGCAACACTTGACAATGACTGGCTGAAACAAGTTAATTAAAAGAAAACTGCGGCGCAAACGAAATAAATCTTGGGGCGCGAAAGACGCATATGTGAAGGGTTTGTTTTGCGGGGAAGGGGGCTAACAGCAGACTAAATCAGTTTAAATTGTAATTAATTCTTTATTTCGAAAGGTGAATGGGGGGCCTGGAATTGAATTTAAATAAGGGTGTGCTGGACAAACAAATAAATAGAGATTGCATAGGGAAATAGAAGAAATACAGCTAAGAATATCTTTAGATAGAATATAACAAATTAAATTAAGATTTAAAGTGTATTCCACTGAAGAAAGTTACGATTGTCTAAATCGGTTAAATCGATTTAGTAACTGAAACTCCAAAACTAGAAAAATATGTTCCCCAATAAATGTAGTCCAATGCCACCACCAAGCCATTATTGTTTTATGGCCAACACATTTACGATGTGACAATATACCCCCACAAACCCCAAACAAAACATCCTTATTGATTTGCATGTCTGGCAGACATTAGGCATGGAAAATCTCATAAATTTGTTTGTTTCGCCCGCCTTGTTTTTCCAGGGAAAAGCTTCACGCTAACCATCACCGTGTCAACGAATCCACCGCACATAGCCACCTACAACAAGGCGATCAAAGTGACTGTCGATGGGCCACGCGAACCCCGCTCCAAGACAAGTAAGTATGGTATCCATAGAGCAGTTGGGTCCTTTCCCCCCCCTTTCCCCGCTTTTCCAAGGCTTTTCATTTGCAGGACAATGCACAGCAATTTATTAGTTGCCAAATAGATAAATTGTTCTGCAGCAGCAGGCAGTTCTCAGAGATGCAGACGAGATAGAGGTGGAAATTGTGGGATCGGCAGGAGTTTCAGGGCCCAGGCATTCGCATTCCAATAATGTCAGTGATGCGTGGTTATTAAGGAAACAAAAGCTAAATTCACATTAAATTCACATATATTCTGGGGTAAAAATATATATGATATGCATAAACTGATTTGCTATCACACCATTCTTTCATTTCGTTGATAAAAAAGGACTTTTTATATATATTGATGTGCCTTAAATAGCAGGATATACATTTTCAGCATCCATTTAATAAAAAAAATTATATTTCTGGCTGTGTCTTTATAAAGAAAAGTATACAAATGTAAATAAAAAGCATAGCCATGTAAATATTTTCATCAAGTGTTTAATAAATCCTTTCCGGCTGTTGATAAAATTGTATGGTTATTTTATTAAACTAATCTTATAGTTGAGCATTAATTATTGTTGAAATATGTAAGATACATGGCACCTAAAATTCTTTGCTAAAATAAGTTATCTAGAGAACTATTAACAATTTGAAATATTTATATATAAATAAATGTTTTAGCGTTTTTTTATTTTCCACAACAACAGCTTAGTCAGCTCATCGCTGTAAAGGAAAACTTAAGAGTACTCCTACAATATTACAATTTCACTCTGCAGAAGCTCAGTCCGCTTTAAGTCCTTGCACGAGATTTTGCTGATTTGCTGATGCAGCAAGGACACTTCCTTGCTAATACTTCACTCCATTTCACTTCGGAATGCCGAATATCTTGAAGGAATATTCATTAGACAGCTCTATCACACACTCTGCCTGCCCGTTACATATTTATAAGGATGCAAATATTTTACTTTGCATATGTTCCTGGATTCAGACGGCTTGAAAAGGGGGATAGCAGGACCAGCAGGCAGTGGTCCAAAAGTTTTGCCGGTCTGTGTAATCTGGTTTCGGTCCGAATTCAAATCCATGAAATGATTTATATGCCCCGAATGCCAGACAGAATCCAAAAAAAGGGAGTACGGGACGCACACTAGGGTTTTAAGCTGCAGACAAAAGGTTATTATTTTATAATGAATACAAGCTGGCAGATAACTGTAACCGCCGCAGGATTTTAGTGCGGGGCCAAAAATTTAGCTGAAAGTGTCGCCGGTTGGCAAAAGTTTCTTGGGCCATTGTCATTTCACTTTCACATACACACAAAATCCATTGGCAATAGTTCCCCCCGAGTCTTGGAAATTGGAGAAGGGGGGTTGGAAAACCCGTCTTTTCATCTTCAGTGAATCGAAAGCAACAAAATGTCACTCATCAACTGCTTGTCATTTAAGTTTTCACACAGACAAAGAAAAACTACTGCAGTCATTTACCCGAATACACAATAATAGAACAGTGGTTGCTTGCAAATTGAAATCTTTTTGCTATATGAACAACGAAAGGATTTCAAGTGGAAAAGGTTTCATTAAAGTTTTTCCAATACGCTAGCGATTTAATATACAAATTGACTTATAAAATACTGCATAAAAACATGAACTTTCTGTAAATTTAGAATAATGTATACTAAATATAAAATTCGAGATTAATATTTACAAATAAATTAATTGTTCTCTTAAGTACAACAATCCATTTTTGTAATTTTAATTTCATTAAATCATTAACACAACAAATCTGCATTCAAAGAACATCTTATTTGCAATCGACCACTGTTTTAGTGCAATAAAACCATTAAGTTAAGGACAGAAAATTATAACTGAAAAAAACTTAGTGTTATCCCTTTTAGGACAGCAACAGCAGTTCCACTTCGCTTTTGGCCAAAGACCGTTCCACTTTTCCACGGATCCACTTTCCGGCTTCCGGATGCCGCCAATTGGCAATTGTCAGAGTAAGTAGTCCCCAAATTTTTATTTATTACCCCCTTTTGACTTTTTTAAAGAATTTTTCAATCATAAGGTATTTCAAGTATTTATTCGTATATTTGATTTTGTATTTTGAGTTGGAAAACCACCAAAAGAAAAGATCCGGGGAGAATCACACTCAGATTCTTATAACATATAGGTACTTAGCGAAATTCGCAGGATTCATTTAAATAGCTTTAAATACAAAAGAGCCAACAAAAATTATAATAAACAAATTAGTTATTTCATTGGTTATTTTACAACTATTCACCAAAGTGACCCTTAAATATATGGTCTTAGGGAATTTATTATATTGCGAAAATTGTTTTTATGCTTGTTTACTATGGCTCTAATAATTTACTACCAAAGCTGGGCTAGAAATTAATTTAATATTTTTAAATTTTTTTTGGGAAACATATACATGAAAAGACATACATATATGTCGTCTGTTAATGAGGAAAAAAATAGCAACTTTAAAAAGTTGCACGTTTGTTTTTTTCGTTTTAATATCGTTGGACAACCATTTGAATGTGGTAAAATTGCGGGTCACCTTGCCATATAGACTTTTTTCTGGCCTAAGTGGGTTCGTTGTTGTTATTGCTGTTAAACTGTTGGCCACTTTATTTAACCAAAGTTTACTATACAAACAAATAAACGTTGGTCAAACACCAGCACACACACACACACATACACACTGCAATTGAGGGAGGAGAAAAAAAGTCAACGCCTAAAAAAAGCGCTTTTAAATCCGAGCTTCGCATTTCACAATTATGATTTAAATGAAAAACTACGCAGTCAAATAAATTGAATGCATTTAACCAAGCGAATATAAACCAATTTTGACAGCTCAAATGCTAAGCAGGTTATGCTTATAAATTTTAATTAGTCGAAAGTTTTAATACTCAGTGATGAAATCGAAATCTTTGTATTTTTTTTTTGGTTAAAAAATGTTATATTAGTTTTCCTTTCTTATTTCATTTAAATTTGCTTTGTGCTAATTTTCCTTAAAATATATATTTTTTATCATTTTTGAATACCCAGTCTTGTCTTTTTGCAAAAAAAAATACAACCTTTCTATTCTATATTGTATCAACCCCATCCATTCTTAATTTTCACCTCCAGCTCCATTGATAGAATATTTATAACAAAATCAATAATTAATATTGTGGGAGACAGTTTTTTCATGCTGTTTTTGCTCATGTGTTTGCGTAGGTGAAATAAATTTAATTGTACATTTTAAAATGCATTTATATTAAATTTGATGTTTCAATTTAAATTGACAATTAATTGCATTACAACAACATCAGCAACAAAAGCCGGACTAGACTTTGTCCCCTTCCCCAAAAACTAGCTGCCCGGGGCTAAAAAAATATTGCAACGGCTACAAATGTGATTTTCTCTTTAGAGGTTGATGCTATTAAAAAAGCTGAAAATAATAAAATTAACACATTAACGATGTTAAAGTAGAAAAACTCAAAGGCAAAGAGTTGCACAAAAAATGTTAGTGCCCGATATTTAAGCAGAATATTGAATATATGAGCAATGCCAAAGACCCACTGCCGTGAAAAAATAATAATGAAAGGATTTTCCCCCAGAGCATGAAAAATATTTTAAATTTTTATCTGATTTTCTTTGGGCTTTGTATTATTTTAACATTTTTATATGGGCCCGCTATTTACTGAAATATTTTTGATATTCATTTCTGAGTGGTGCCTTTTTTAAAAAGGAGTAACAAATTAAGTAGATAATAAATATTTTAAAATCACTCTTTTAATTAAATCATTTCAAAATAAAGTTGAATTAAAGGTTCATTTAATTTAAAGCAATACAAAGCTATACTCGTGCTTTCCAAAAGAAGAAAAGTTTCAAAAATCCTACTCAGATGTTCTTTGGTTTATAGAAATAAAATGTAGACTCAAGTGTTTTTCCAATTCATTATTTGTAGCACTTGTCACTTATCTGGCATTACCGCCCCTGACCAAAGCGATTCCGGTGAACTTAAATGAAAAAATGCTTATGAAAAACTCGCCATAAATATAAAATCAATCAATGCGCAAATTGCCTGCCAATTTGGGCGTCTCCTTCGCCTGTCATTCACCATTTAAACACCCAGTTTGTGTCAATATTCCACCGTCTAGCCCAGTGTACAAATCAAAATGCAAATTGCACGATTTACAGGACTCTGAAAAGGCAATCCACATTATATAACACACATAAATATGTATGTGGGGAAGAGCACACAAGTAAATAATGATTACTGAAAGCGTCTGTTGATACTGATTACCCATAAATTAATTGTAAATATGCAAAAAGCAAAGTATCCTGAATTATTTATTAACAAATTTTATTGACAGTCGCTGCTTGACTTAATTACTGGCATATATTTTATTAATTTCGCAAAAAAAAAACCCATGAAACCCCAACCGGAAAAGCGAAGAGCAAGGGATTTTTGTTTTTATTTTTAAAGGAATTAAGGTACGATTTATGGGTTAAAAGATGTAAGACGAAATGTTGTCCCCAAATATTTTTGTTTAAAATGCGTCTTAGCTTATATATAACAAATTGTATAACCAGTTACCAGTTACCACTATTATTAAAAAATAAAGAGCTAAAAATTCTAGTTTTGGGTTAAACTTAAGCTCAAACTTTTTTTTAATCCTCCTAGTGAATGTTTTCAGAAGAGTTCTGCCATTTGAAACGACTTAGTAAAATATTTGCCATTATTTTGCCGCAACTCAACCCTCGGAAAATGGGAAAATCGGAAATGGTCCGCTGTCCGGTGCCTTGTTAATAATTCAGGGCCCGAAAATATGCGCAAATAAAGTCAATCAGTGTGACAACAAACAGGCAGGACTAACCACTCTCGCACACAGACGCGGATAATGACAGACACCGTGTAGAGTAGCCCACAGCCCACAGAGAAAATTGTACACAAAAAGCCACGTAATTAATGGAGGTAGAAACATTTAAGCCAATAGCATTAATAAAGCCACCACAAAATCAATATCCGGCTACGAAAGCGCGCCCGTCGCCTATAAAAACTAATTAATAATTTCCGAATGGGCTATTAATTAAGCCTAATTATCTGTGCATGGGTCCCGGCGACCCGCAAAATGTTGACTCCCCTCACCCCGGCTTCTGTTTAACCCCTGATAGCCCCACAAAATGACTGGAGTGAGCTGAATTTTCGGCAGGCCTGGGTCCATTCCATTGATTTGTTTGTCGCTCTTTTTTTCACCACCCCCTCACCCCTTCAGGTCTCCACAAAATGGCGGCAAAGGTCCCGCATAATATGTGGCAAGTGGGCGAGGACCTCCAATTAGCGGCTCACATGGGCCATCATATCGGCGGAGCAGGACCTGCAGTACCTAATCCACAATTATCTTGTATTTATTTACACTTTAAATATTTTAAAAGCCCGCTTTTAACATTTTTATTCTAGCTTTGTTATTGTATTTACTTTAAACAAGTCAGTAAGGGTTTTTAATTGCTCTATAAAGTATTAAAACAATCTTATCTAGGTACTACATAAGTTTTTCTTTATATTTATAGCTCTTTTTTTGATTTGTTCTAATTTTGTTTATTTTAAACACTTAGGTAATATATAAATCTCATTTTCTGGGAATTTTCATCATTCGTTAATTTTTATTTTTCGAAAGTTTTATCTTACGCTCTATTATCTTATATCTTATTTTGGTTATTTTTAATAAACCCATTTCTAAATATTTTTGTGGCTTCTTTTCAATTTTAGGTGCCAGCAACACGCATTGGGGCTATGGATCGGCGGCCTCGGCGTATTCGCCTTACTTGGCCAGCAGCGGATTATCGTCCTGCACCACGCCCACTTCCGCCCAGTTCAACAATCCAGCCCTGGGCTTCACCTGCTCCTCGAACGATCAGAGCAACAACCAGGACTTTGGCGGAGCCACCAATCGCGACTGTGTGCCCAGTAAGTGCAATCCCTAGCTTAAATATTATATATAGAGTTTTCAAGTTAAAGTTTTCCCTCAGAATCTTTAAAAAATTGTCGAAAGCAAAAAATCGGCCAAAAAATATAAATCAAGATTTAAATGCAGATTTTTAGAGAAATTTAACACAAACATTTAAAGAAATGCCACTTTAAAATCGGATGTCTATACGAAAAGTTATGGACTTAGAGGTGCAGGTTTTGGGTTTTTTTTTCTGCAAAGCCGTTTTTCAAAAATAAGGAAAGGATTAGATCATAAAAAATGACAAATAATCGACCAAAAATCACAAATCAAGATTTAAATGCAGATTTTTAGAGAATCAAAAAACGAACATTTTAAGGTATGCCATTTTAAAATCGGATGTCTATAAGAAAAGTTATGGGCTTAGAGGTGCAGGGTTTAGGTCATTTTTCTGCAAAGTGGTTTTTCAAAAATAGGGAAAGGGGTTAGATCATGAAAATGTCAAGAAAATGGACCCAAAATTACACAGCAAGCTGTAAATGCATATATATTTAGAAAATTAAGGCACAAGTTTGTAAAGGCATACCAATTTAATATTGGACTTAAGTCAGAAAAGTTATGGACTTAAAAGTGCAATTTTTGGACATTTTTCTGCAAAGCCATTTTTGGAAAATTTGGAAAGGGACTTATATACATACAATATATTAGCTGCAATAGAAAGAAGACTTTTTGCAAAGATTAATTAAAGTGGCATTCAACTGATTTATGGTTTGAAAATAATTTTACAAGACTGTGTACCATATAGAATACATATATGCTTAGACTGATCTCTTACATAACTTCAAAGTGTCTAAAGTATCCCTTCCCGTCCTCTCCTTGCAGTGCTGCCCGACTCGACGGCCAGCGATCTGGACCAGCACCTGAGCAGCCTGGTGGGCTCCACCAGTGGCCAGATGACGCACCACAGCCTCCTTGGCGCCGGCGGCCAGACCTCCATCTCGTCGACGGTGAACGGGGGGCGAGTGGGGCGGGCGCCGGGGCAGGGGCGCCGGCGGCGGTGCGGGCAGCGGTGGTGGTGCCGGCGGCGGTGCGGGCGGCAACTCCATCCTGGTGCCGCGATACCACACCAACGCGAGCAACGAGTACAACGTTCACTCCAGCCAAAATGGACCGCGCAGCCTGAGCGACAGTTCGCAGGCGGAATCACCTGTGCAGGAGGACCTGCTGACCACCAACACCCCGAATCTGGGCAGCACGGCGGGCGGTGGTGCGGCCAATGGTGGGGCAGCGAATGCGGGCAGTGGGGCGGCCGGCGGGAGTGCGGGGGGCAGTGCCTCCTCGGCGGTGGGCAACCCCTCGATGCTGGGCGCCAACCAGAACTTCCCGGGCATCGTCAATCAGGCTCAGCACTCGGCCGCCTCGGCCTACGGCGGTGGATCCGGGGTGGTGGGCGGTGGGCATGGCAGTGCCGCTGCCGCCGCCGCCGGATGCAATGGCTCGCTGTATCCCGTGCTGCCGGCCAGCCTGCTCTACTCCCAGCTGTACACCGCCGCCAATCAATCCGCCCACGGATTCCATTCGCACACCCTGCCCGCCCACGCCTCGCCCAATTCCTCGGTTCATGGGGAGCTGCAGAGCGTGATGGATCACATCAGCAATGTGGGGGTGCGGCAGCAGCACAACATCATGGCCGGCGGCGGGGTGACCCATCCGGGTGACCTCACCCTGATCGGCAACTGCGGCGCCTCGGTGCGGAACATCGAGGACGGGAACAGCAACCGGCAGGTGGCCGCCTTAGCTGCCCATCGCGGCCACCACAATCCCACCGACAACGGGGGCAGCGTTTGGAGGCCCTATTGAGGTCAGGTTCTGTGGTGCGGCTCGGCGGTTCTATAGTGCGAGGGGGGCGGGCCGCAGCACGAAGCGGGGATGGGGATGGGTATGGGCATGGGCATGGGTATGGGGGTGGGAATGGGCGTGGGGATGGGGGCGGGCATGGGCGTGGGCATGAACTACTTGGGGGGCTTCTAATCTGTACATAGCGAGGGGTCGAACGGTGGGTTTCGGTGCTAAATAACCGATTTTATCGAAATTACAAACAAACATTTGTCAAAATTATCGATAACAAAATTACCGATACAACTTTTCAAATGAATCATCCGATTTCATTTTCCAAGACAGACCTTGGTATTGTTGATATCTTTAACGTTTATAAATATTTAAGGTAATAAAACCGCATATTATATTATATATATATATAAATTGCCTTTAAACAATATCCATTGGTGATTATCGAAGATTATCGATTTCAGAAACAAAAATGTATCGTAAGGATCGAACTTTATATATTTTTAATGTTGATGACCATTTCAGGCATAAGAAATTCTCTTCGGACTTTACCAATTTATGATTTCAAGATTTTCAAATAAAAAGCAATCGGTTATCGAAGACTGTAAACCGCCGTATTTAAAAATTATTGTATATACCTGCTGGCGAAACAGAAATCTTTGGAGATTCAAAAAAATAGCTTAGGTGTCGATGGGTATTATTTTTCGCAGTCCGATGAAAACATTTAGCTTGTATATAGTGTCAGCGGACATAAAATATTTTGTATCCCAGTAATAGACATCTTAAGCGTTGTTTTTAAATCTCTAGAAGTTTGTGAATGTGTGTGTGTTTTTTTTTTTCATAACCTTATGACCATATAAACGAAACCAAAATGATCAACTTTTAGTAGAAATTGTTGGAGTGCTTCAAAGCTCTTCATATAGCATATAGTTAAATAAAGAGAAATCATTATAAACTAGGCTTTACGACAGAAATACTTAGCAAATTTAAAGGGATAAAGGATAGCCCTTTCGAACACTTTTCTGTGAAATTTTAAGACATAAAAAACGAAAGGAAAATATATATGAATTTTAAGCAGCATTGGGTCTGTATCGAGTTACTTTTTTTTGTATTTTTTCCAGGCCCGTGGTAAGCCCGAGCCATAAAACTAGTCATATTAGCGATAAGTCATTACCGAAATACAATACCGGAAACAAAGAAAATGAATACGGAAAACCGAAGAAAATACTTAGAAACTTTAAACTAGTCGTAAACATTTGTGAAGCCAAAGCCAAGTTGATTTTTAGTGATTTTTCCTGTTTTTTGTGTAGGATATGAGTGTTGGTGGGAATGAAAGAGGGTATCATGGGTATCATGGGGTATTTATTTAATTGGGCGGGTCGTAGAGCCGATGTATGTCTGAGTTCCTAAGCCGTAATCCATGTTCGTGAATTTGTTTACTGTTCATTTCATGTGCTTCGATCTGCGTGTCCTTTAAATGTGTATAAACATGTGCAATCTAAGCTAACCAAAACAAAAACAAAATAAAAAACAAATATATAACTATAAATATGCATATAACGAGATATCTGTGTACTAAATGGTAGACCGCACACCCGAAACCGCAATCTATGACACTTGGAAACTTATACTGTAATGTTTTTTTTATTAGCTCATAAGTGGTAAAAGAAAATGCAACAGCAAATTAAATTCCAAACAAACACTATACTACGCGAACGGTAAAATAGAGTTAAGGAATCGGTTAGAAATGTCCAAAATAGCACATTCATTAAATATATATTATTATATATATAAACATACATGCTAACTATCAGAACCGAAGTAAAAATGTAATTGATGTATACCACAGGAATCCAAAGAAAATACCGAAACTATGTGTATAATTTAGCCAAGATCCCCGCATATTTAAATATATATAGAAATTAAACCAACATTTTGTGCAATAAAACAAAACAAAAACAAATGAGAGTTCTTTGTAATAAAATAAGTAAATGTAATTAAAACATTTTATTTGGGGAACAGAAAAACTAAACCAAAATAAAAACCAAAATGATCTAAATAAAACTTAAATTCAACAATTATATTAAATAAAATTATGAAAATTAATAACAATAAATGTCTTCTTATTCAAGGGGGGGAATATTCTTTGGAAAACTTTTAAATCTGGATCAGTTTTCGTTTATTATATTTATAGGGGTAATATAGTTAAGTACAACATTTTGAATTAAACCTTTTGAAAAAGAGATAGATAAAAATGGAACTTCTGATTAACAAAATGTAAGCTTAGCTAGAGAGCTCTAATAGATGTGGTTTGTTAAGATACAATACAAGTTTGTTATTTTAAATGATTTTTGTTCTGCCCATTTTTTGTATATTTTCATAGGCAATCCCATCAAGATTTTATCTGGATTTTCTCCTATTTTCTCTGCAGCCGTTTTACGACACCATCGGGGCCAATTGGCCGGAGTAGAACTTATGACCTGGCCGGGATATTAGCTGGCCCCGTCTCCTTCTAATGCCATCTCCGTGTGGTTTGGATTTGGCGGGCAACGTAATTTTCTGCTCAATTTATTTCACATTGTGGCATCCAATTAAGCTGCAAACCGAGCTGCCGGAGCAGTCCACCCGGAACCGTTCGAAATCCAGAGGAGTCCATTCGGATGCGGAGGCGGATGCGGATATCCCACCTGCCCGCACATATGTGGCCATAAAAATACAGTCGAGCTACAAGACTCCGTGACGCGAAGCGTAACAAAGCGGAGAGGAAGCGAAATAACCGCAAAAAGATAGCCAACAGAGGGTTAAAGCACCGGATAAATTAGAGATCGATATAAAGACACACGGATATAGTGGGGGCTAAAAATAAAAGGCAAGTGCTGGGATAAAAAAACTTTTTAATTATTTCCATGCCGAAGATGTTTCGCATAACAAATTAGCTCGCCGTCAAGTATTCAGGCGGGTGTGTGGGTGTAAATAATTAAAAATTCTACCCATTACTTGCGAGGCTTGGTGAAATTTCAAACAAACGCCAAGACACACAGACGCTGTTACTCACATGAGGCCTTCACTGAGAGAAATATTACTCAATAAGAACCTTATTTTAGCTTATTTCATTTTTTAATAGTAGAACAATGTATAACGAAAAAGGAAGCAAACTTTAGCATACCTTTATATCAGTTGCATAAATAACAAAAAATTCTGTATTTCGATTTTTATGAATATGCGTTTATAGACAATGAAGCTTTGTAGATCATAGGACTATATCATAAAGCTGCTTTAGGAACTATCCAAAAATCTATTAGTTTTTAAACAAGTACTCATAAAAAACGTCATACAAATAGGTATTTTCTAGAGTTTAACATATTTGTTAAACCTGCAAGGGTATACAAAATATCACAATATCAATAATAGGTCTTACATTTTATAATAATATTTAACAATTTTAAGCAATTATAAAATATTACTGTTGTTTCCGCAATATTTGACAGTGCAAAAATTGCCATGAAGAGCTAGAGAAAACCACTTGAGACGCTGATTTAAGCTCTCAACGGGCATTCTTTTGCCCCACCCAAAACCCGCACCACCCAACCACCCACCTCCAACCAGACACCACCCCTTCCAATTGGAACGTGCGCCGCCTCGCATATTAACACGTTTCATATGAGCAAATCCCTTGGCGACCATCACCAAACGGGTTAAGGGTTAAGGGTGGGGGCGGGGGCCAGCTTGGGGTTAAGAGCCGACTCGAGATGAGCCAAGATGCGTTGAGTGGAAAGTGAAAAGTGGAATGTGGCAAGCGGCAAGTGGCAAGTGGCAGGTGGAGTGGAAGTTGAGTGGCGTCCTCCCACTTGCCCCCATTTGCTGCATCTCCACGTGTCTTACGAATAAAATTCATTTTTCTTATTAGCCATTTGTCGGCGCTTTTAGCCGGGTCTTAATTAAGGTGATAAACAAGCAAACCGAATTAGACGGTTCGCAACAAAGCACGAGATGAATTGGGATGAGTCGCGAAAAGACAGTCATCATAAAAGTTGAAGACGTCTAAAGAAACGACAGAGGATCGATCAAGGAGTTCTATAAATACCTTAAAAATAAATTAATCTTGCCTTAATTATTATCATAGAAATATGTCAATAAATTATAAAAATATAAATTAAATATTTTATTGCAGATTATTATGGAGAGTTAATCAGTTTAGGAGATATGCTATTTTAAAACCAGAAGCTGATTGCTTAAGATATTGGCTTAAGTGATTTAGTTTTGAGTCACCTTTTTATCACTATCAAACATTTATAAATAGTGGAAATAAAATAGAGCAAAAATAAAGCACTAATAAAACCAATTTATTATAGATGTTTAAAAATTAATCCACAATCTTTAAGAGGTGTTTCAATAGGTCAAGTTATTGGATGATACTGCAAAACAGGTCACCAAACCAAAACCTTTCGCATCTCAGCTCATTGAGTGGTTTCCGAAACCATAACTCTTAAGTCTGCCCTCTCAGAATTTTGGCTGCTCACCTGTTCGGCTTCTTTTATTGGCTGCCTCATAATGGAAATCATCTTTGGCGCCCGCTTCATTTGCTCCGCTTGTCGAGACTTCCGCCCAACCCTTTCTCCCAGCCTTTCTCCAACACTTTCTCCCAGCCTTTCTCCAACCCTTTCTCCAGTCCCTTCCCTCAATTATGTATGAGTGTGTGTGTTTTCGGTGCATGGGTGTATATTTGATTACGATGCCAATTAGAGAATATGAGAGTAATTAGTGAGGATGGGGGAAGGTGGAACCTTTTTTCTTGTGCCTTGTAAGCCGGAAGGAAGCTAAAGCTGCCTTAATTAGCGGGGCAAAAGAAACTTTCCAATTATGAAATTCGTAATACTTTTTCCAACCGACAAAAGTTGGGAGAGCGCCTCTTTCTGCTTTTCCGTTTGCCATTTTTACTGCTGACCATTCAAATAATGCAGTGATTTCTGAGGTCAGCAGAGAATTATGCAGATCTGCCTTGGGAAAAACCC